ATGGAAGGATATACAATGGAGGATACTATGTATGTGTCATTGAGGCAGTATACTGAATGGGGTGCTTTTCTGCCACTACACACAATGGATTTCATCTATGTTTGACTGGTATGTGTATCATTAACATCCCATACTATGACTTAAGAAGATCAGCACTGTTGCCATGACCCTATCTATCTTGAATGCTGCCTTCTAGCTTTGTGCCATACTTTCCTCTTAAAACCTGGTCAGACAACAGCTTTTATGTTGGGCTATGTGACTGGCAATATGGCAGACATATTGGACTACTTATTAAGTTTATAAGTCTATTGCTTTGAGCTGCTAATTGGGGAGAGAGTAATTGTTCAGGGGATATAGTTCTATCCTCAGAAATTTCAAGAACCATCATCTACCAATGTAAGTACTACCATCCACAATCTGGTACTCTTCACATGCATTGAACCTTGTGCTGGCAGAAGATAATAGATGCTATACAGCACTTCGGTGGGCACCAGGTTCAGAAAGGGTCTTGGAATATGATTCTTCTGCTTGTCTTTGGAACGATGCAAAAATAAGTAATTTTCTTGAGGTGATTTTTAGACAAGAAATGTTGATATTCTTTCTTTTTCCTAAAGTTGGTTTCAGTAAGTCATACAACAACACAATTTATTCTGTACTAAAAAAAAAAAAAAAGGTAAACAAGTCTTTTAAAGAATACATCATATAATCCTACATATAAACATGGAGACATGCTGGGCTCCCAAACATGGACAGAAATGCAGAACAAGACTCATCCATACTTACAGGGAGATTTCTAGCTTTTCAGAAAGGTTCTATTCTTTGGGTCTCCCATTTCCTTGCCTTGGGCTCTGGACTTAAAATATGCTGTTACATTGTCTTTAGATACTGGCAGCAAAGAACAGTGCACAGTTATGAAGTTTCAATGACTGGATTTGGAGATTAGTGTGGTGAAAGAGAAGCCTAAAAATTCTGCCATCACATGTACTCTAAAGCTAATTTCTCTCAGAAAGTATCTTTTGAGAGAAAAGGAATTGCTCTTTCACTATTTAAAAATTAGTTGAAGAAGATGGTCTCCTCTGAGCCCAATTCCTATCCCAAACTAAGATCCTTAAAATGAAAAAGGAAATAAAAACAAACCCTTCACACTTAACTGGTTTTAATGAGCCCTGCCATACAAATTATTAAAATGTAGCAGATTCTATCATAATTATGGAACAATTTAAAAGCTATTTATAAAATGAATATGTCAGAAGTTGTCACTAGTATACAGATATGTAAACACTCTATTTCGTCTTATAAATCCGTCCCCCATTAGAAAAGGTACATTATTATTGTAATAAGCAGAAGCTGAAAAGCAGCCTGACAGCAGGATAGGCTGTTGACACTATCACGACACTGACAAATTAGGCATATTTCTAGGATACCTACTTCTGATTACAGATTCACCTCCAGGAGGAATTGTGGCAGTCCTATCTTAGAATCTATCTCAGAATTCCCAAAGGAGGAAGGAATATATAATTCTCCAAGGCAAATATGGGATGGAGGGTGAATTACAGGTGGGAATAGTTCTGATGATTCAAATAGCTAACTACTTTAAATGTTGCTCGCTTGGAACATAACAGAAAAAAATTGTCATTGCATTTCTAGAATTATCAGTACAAGTATCACATCATCTAAATTCTCAGATACAGTAAGAGTAGGTAGGGGCTGTGTTTCCAAGACAACATATTGCAGAGATACATAACAAGGTTGAAGCACTTTAGTCAACTCAATATATTTTTCAGATTAAAAAGGACCCCCTACAGTTAGGGTTTTTTTAAATAAGGAAATGGTTAAATTGCATGGATTTAGGCAGAAATGAAGATAAGATCTGATGCTTAATATTTTTATGTTTGGGAGTTTATTAGATGTTGCATTAAAATAAATGGAAATCCTTTCAAATATATGCACTTAGCCAGTATAGATTCTCCAACCTATAATAGTATTAAAATTTTTCTGCTGTGTCAGTGATTCTTATGCAGTAACTCAGCCTGGGATGCTTACCAAACTTAATAAGAAGTACTGTATGTTTCTTCTGCCTTGTTTTGTTTCAGATTTGTTTCAAGAGTGTTATTTCATTATAGAATGTAAAAAAAAATATTTTTTTTTCAAAACGTCTAAAAGCTTAGAAGTCATGCAAGAATCAGATATGAACACTTAAAATCCATTGTTCCCATGATATTCTTTTATCAATACAATGATATAAAATTGCAAGGTATTTCTTGTCATAACAACTGGGAACACACTGGCCTTGTTCACATGACACACACTGGAGGTAAGCAGGTCATGTGAACTCAAAAAGTGGTTAGTATCCCAACCAATGAAACCTAATGAAATTCAATTTGACGCCAAACAGAACCAGTTTGAGGCTAAAGGAATTCCTCCTGCCTTCAAATCAATTAATTCTTCTGACATAATGCAAAGAGGCTTAATACTTTGTAGGTTCTCTTTGATTTCAGTCCTATACTTTATTTATACAACAAAATTGGTCTGGATTTGATCTTCCAGTGAATTAGTATTATGGTTAGCAAGAACAAGCAAGCATATTCTTGGCTTACGATTCTGACTTGTTAGGATAATCAGAAGTTCTGATTCCGACGTTAACACAAAACAAGCTATGAGTGGAAATCTTCTTGTTTGTTAGCTGCTATCATTGTTAGCAATCTAGGTGTAAGATTTGCTTGTTCTTCAATAGGCTGAAATTGTAAATAACTTGTACTGTATGTCCAGATCAATGCATTAATTAAACATTAACTGAAGAAATGTTCTTGAAATTAGATATTTTACCTCACAGGATTGTTATAGTCAACAGTGTAAGTGTACAGTGGTTAACCAATTTAAAATATCACACCCTTTCAGTCGATTAGAAAGCTTTAAAACATTAAAGTATTTATATAAATTGCATGTTTTATAGCACTATCTTAGCAAACTATTTTCTTTCATAAATACCTCTTTTAAAAAGGCATCCAATGTTGCATTTTTGCAGATTAGGCTTTTTTGCTTTAGAAACATTTAAGTCACATGCAAATGTATACTAAGTAGTAATTTTTCACATTACTTATGTGAAATGTGGAACTAAAAGCCATATTTTAACACAACTACAATGTTTAAATTGGGTTTAATTTGAAATCCCCTTATAGCAAGTCAGAGAAAAGGACCCTCTATTTCAGTATTGCCTACACTAAGCAGAAACATATCCAGGGGTCCGGACTATGTGTATGCAAATGGTACGCTCTAGCAAGGCGCCACCACATTCTTAGGAATACAGATGTTCTAAAAAGATCTGAGCTTCTAAAGCACTGATGGTTTTATTATGGCATGAAGAACTCTTCTCCTTGAATTTATTTTAGGTCTGTTCTATGTCACATTAATGAAACATTTTCACTCCTGCTTTACAAAGAATAATTTCAAATATTATGTTAACTTGTTTTGACTTAATTCATTCCAAGTTACTTTGGCTAATAAATTAACTTGCAATGTTTTATTAGATAGTACACCTTATTTAATATGACTTAAAGTATTAGGAACAAATAATTTAAGTTCTCCCTTTCATTTTAAGATATGCAATGGGATTCTCTCACAAAATGTACATGAATTCACAATAAATATATTAACTGTAATGAGGCTAAAGCCAAATCCTGTCATTTAAAATCTAAATATGCATAGTGTATGGAATGGGACAAATATTCACTTTCCTAAGTGGACAATGCTTATTTATCTCTGTTTTTGAAATGAAATACTGTATAAAGTTTGTCAAATTGTTTTGACTGTAATTAATTGAAATTGATCAAAATCTACAATTTCAGGAGGTCACTCACAGATATTAATTCTCTACATGTTGTATTGTATACTGTCTTTCCAGTTTAAAATATTTCCCTGGTTGTCTAAGCTTGTTATTTTCCTTGTATTATCATACACCGTAAACCATTTTACCACAACAGAAGAAAAAAGGCAGGACTTGAAGGAAGCTGCAACTGTTTTTTTAATTTATTTATTTCATATGAAAATTTAATGATTCTTAAAACCTGGCTCAAGTTTCTAACATAATTGGTTGGCAAATAACCTACATATTGGGACCAAAGTTAAGAAATCAATGCTCAGTTATCCCGATTGCAACACTACGTTTCTACTTTTGTTGCAGCCATACTATACTTAAAACGACTTATGCTACAAACAATGTTACAGTTGAGGAACGACCTTTGTATTATTAGCAACATAGAGCACACATTTCAGGGGGCTACGAAGAGAGACTATCCATATACACTTACGGGTATGAACTTAGCCAGTCGGAAACTTAGCTGTGTTAAGGAAACTGAAAATGAAGGAGAGCAATGAACAATCTGAAATGGATACCTGAGCCTCCTCGTATCCTACTTCCTCCCCTCCCTTTACAAAGAAAACAAAAGGTGGGGGAGAAAGAGTCTAACAACCAAACTTGTTGGGGAAGCCAATCACAGCACGACCCCCTTCCATTCAAAGCAGTTGGGATCAGACTCCCAGGGACAAGCAAAGCAAGCAGAAAACAAATAGGCCGCCGGAAGGGAAGGGGGAAGAAAGAGGATTCCAGGGCTTTTTCAGGACGAACCACTGAAAGGAACCTTTGAAGTCTTCCCACACCGCGCGAGGCTGCCACGCGCAATCGCGTCTTGAAAACCCCACTGAGTAGACAGGAGGAGGAACTTCTAGTAAAACTTTTTGGGAACGGGCGGAAGACCCCCACGCACCTCCTTGACCTGCTACCCGCAGGCGCGGGGCTGCTACGAAGCGCACTCCTGCGGGGGGGGGGGGCGGGGCACAGGGGGGGCTTGGGCTTCCTCGGGGTCAACGC